AACCCAACCCGACTCAATCCAACTCAACCGAAGCCAACTCAACCCAACCCAACCCGAGATTGAATCATATATTTTATGTATACATATAGATATATATTCTTACTTGACTTGACTCATCCCAACTCAACTCATCCCAATTCTAACTCAGACTTCAACTTCATTTCTATATTCTTTTTTTTCGTTATAAGAGTTTCTACGACTATGCTTAAAAGCATTCAATTACTCCTATAGTCACTTTTTTGAATTTCCTGGAAATTGGAACTTACCATGACATGGCAAAAAAAATATTTTGTTCAGTCATACTCGTAGGGTTGTCGTCGTAGTAGACCAGAAGAATAGCCAGGAATTTTCTAACGGGATGCTCGACTTGTTAAGGATAATGTACACCAGCAGGGCAATAATTTTTTGTTTCGCGAAATGGTTTTTTACTCATATCTCCCTCTAAGTATTTTAGCCAAGAGGATGCGCAGGCACCCGTTGTATCCCCTGACTACGCCCTGTCGTAGATCCTATGAAAGCTAAACAGCAAAATGAAGGCTCTTCCTACTATATTTACAAACAAATAAACTATTCAAAACTAGCGCAAGCGTTGACAAATGGGAAAATACTGCTGAACCGAACTAAACTGACTAACGTATACTTTTCCTTTATTCATATAGTCAATCTCGAGTAGGCATGCGCCAGTTCCAGTCACAAGACTGATAATAGTCATGACTATAAGTCAGTTGCGATTAGCTTACAGTTATAACTATTACAAAATCGACTTGTCGCCAATCCGATCTGTACCAATCGAACTGGTGTCAAAGTCCAACTGGAACATAGTCCATATGTTCTGATACATTTCTAGCCGTTGAGATATTAATTTCTGATTTTAGAAAGAAAAAATTGTGATTCAATTCTCACTAGTCATTCTGGAAATCGTTGTAGAAGTTGTTGTGGAAGATGTTGTTGTGGAAGATGTTGTCGTTCGTATTGTAGTAGAATTCACTATAATCAAAGGGAATAGAATACTCAAATCTTCTCAAGACAAAGTTCAAACTCCTCACTGTTAGGAGTTGTTGTTGTAATGGTCGGAAGGTCTGAGAAAGAAGAACAAATGTAAAAATTTAGGTTCACGCAAAGTAAAAAAAGAAAAACTATTTACTTGTCATTACTGTCGTGTTTGTAACCACAGCTAAACAAGAAAACACATACGTGCTAAGTTAAGGTTAATGTTCCTCATCGAACTACATTTGGCATACTTCTTAGTGTAGTATTGGTCCCTCTAACCATTGTAGTAGTACTTGAATTCGTTGTCGCGATTGAACCTTGAACTAACAACAACAGAAAAAATTCCATTTTATCAAAATTCTCATAATAATGAGAATGGTTATGGTTCATACTGACTGGTAGAATTTCGAACGACTGTTGTATTGGCTATAAAAAAAAGACACTAGAAAATAAAAGCATCGGCCAATGAATAGTCGTCATTTACTTACTCCCTATCGATGTTGTTAAAGTGCTTAAGTTGGGACGACCTGATGTTGCTAGTAGCACAGATACAGAAATGTACATCAATACAAACTACCAAAAAAATTCTTACTTGTAGCCAATGGTGATAATGTTGCACTCGTTATTGCATCTGAAAAGGTAGAAAAAAAGGCATTTTTTACGTGTTCTTTGTCGTAAAAGGGTGGATCAAGGGAGAAACAGCGGTCTTCAAAAGACTTCAAGAGACTTCAAGCACAGAGACTTCAAATTTTCACAAGACTTCAAAAAGACTTCAACTGACTTCACGAGGCTTCAAGAGACTTCACAGGACTTCATCAGACTTCATGGGACTTCAAGAGACTTCGTAAGACTCCATAAGACTTCGCGAGACTTCGTGAGACTTCATGGGACTTCATGGGACTTTCTGAGACTTCGAAAGCCGAAGTCTCTGCTATTTTCCTCTTAGGGTGAATTGAGCCCTACTCGTAACTGTTGAAGTCAGAGTTGTTATTCGGTATAAGACAAAAAAGTTATGTTTTTGATAAAAGTTCGTCTATATTGTGTAATCATTGCATTCTTACGCACTTGGAGGACATATTTGAATATTAGCCAATGCCATTGGATAACAAACAGGTTGTTGACATCGTGTACTGTTAACACAGATTGTATGTGCAATTGAACATGTAACATTGTCTGAATTACATCGAACCACGGAAGTGCAGGAAAGATCGGCAACAGCACAAATGCCCGAGATAGTTCCATTAGCGGCACTGGTCAATGAAAAACATTCACAATCGAGGTTCGAAGAACAGGGCAAAGATGACGGTTTACAAACAGTTGGATTGCATGTCGCCAAGGCTACACTGGGTGATGGTGTTGTTGATTGAGCTATGACGCCATACGGATCAGAAAGTGGAAGCATTTCTTCGAAAAACAACGCAACATCTTACCTGTAGTTTGAAGTTGACTATGGTATAGACTTTAAAAGAGAATTAAAGGAATTTTCTAGCTGAATTCTATTTAAACATACTAATCACTCACCTTGCCGTCAACAGAACATATAGCATAAACATTAGAAGTAACTAAATTTCTTTCGTTGTCTGTATGTGTATGAATTTCAATTTACCTTCTTCTTCTTCTTCTTCTTCTGCTTCTGCTTCTTTCTATCGTTCAACTCTATGTTATATAGACTTAAGTCTTGCACAACTCGACTGTAATAAAACTGGCTTCGAGCCTTATTTTCAATTATTGATTAAAAACAACGCAAAACATTGAGATTTTTTTCTTTTTGGACCAACAACAGAAAAAACAACGACGAAAAAAAGGTTTCACTTGAATATGCGTATTTTATCAATAGAAGAGAGCATTTTTTAAAAATAACGTACAACCTATAAACAGTATTTTTGAAAGCATGTGAATTATCCCATTGAAAGAACAACACAGGTCAACAGTATATCTTATCAGAGACTAGACAGAAGAAGAAAAACATTCACATTTTGTGGAATTTCTCTTGTGTACCTTCTACGAAGTATAAAAAGAAGAATGAAAATTGTACAATTATCAGAATGTGTTTGATATCACACAAGTGACAATTGTCTATTTCCCTAACGTTTTGCAGTTTTCCTAAAACTTCGAAATTTTTCGCATTTGAAAACGTGACAATCAATTCCGCAGTTCTTCTAGGCTGAAGTATACAATATGCGTTACATCGTATATATGTTGCAGTTGAGTTTGGAATCTAGTTGAGATTGGAATCACTTAGTTCACTTTGTTTGTTTAAAAATTTTTCTAACACATATTTAAGAAAACCTATTTGTTTCTTGTCAAATTCATATTTACTATTACTTCTCGGACAATAAAACGTATCTCCGTATTGTTATTTTGTTGATGAAAAGTCATTAGTCTTTCTATTTATTGCTTTCTTCTAAAAGTAAATCTTACTCATCATTTTCCTTATATTGTAGTTTCTATATCGGTGCTCGGGACATGGAGACATTGAACGACTTGTCGAAATGAAATCGAGAGTATTTGAGCTATTTGTGTGTATAGAATAGATCTTTTCCGAGCTGCGGAACATCGGGACATGGGATCGTTGGTTGAAACGAAATCAAGAGTACTTGAGCTATTTGTGCCTATAGAACAGATTTTGTTTTCGAGCTGCGGGACATGAGAACATTGAATGCTTGCTTGAAACAAAATTGAGAGTACTTGAGCTATTGTGTCTATAGAATAGATTTTTTTCGAGCTGCGCAACAAGGGAACATTGAATGATTGATTGAAACGAAATCGAGACTACTTGAGCTATTTGCGTCTATAGAATAGATTTTTTTCGAGCTGCGGGACATGGGGACTTTGAATGATTCGTTGAAACGAAATCGGGACGATTTGAGCTATGTGTTTTTATAAAATAGCTTTTTTTTTCGATGCTCGTGATATGGGTGTGGGTGTGGGTGCGGGTGTAGTGGGTGTGGCTGTAGGGTGTGAGTGTCGGTGTGGCTGTGCCTGTGAGGAAGATAATAGCACCCACATCCACACCCGCATCCAAACCGACACCCATAGTTCACACCCACAGCCCACGCCCACGCCCACTCCCACACCCTCACCCACACTCACAGTCCACATCCAAACCCTGGGTGTAAGTGTGGGTGCGGGATGTGAGTGTGGGTGTGAGTGGGTGGGTGTGAGTTTGGGTGTGTGGGTGTGGCTGTGAGGAAGATAATAATACCGACATCCATATCCACACCCACATACCCACACCACCCATACCCGCACCCACACACCCAAACTCACACCCACACCCCACATTGAACGATTGGTCGAAATCAAATCAAGAGTATTTGAGCTATTTGTTTCTATAGAATAGATCCTTTTCTGAGCTGCAGGA